TCACTCGCTTTAAGTTTTTCTAAACTTTTGATTTATTTTATTAATAAATAGTGTGAATGTACCAATCACAGACCAATGAATAATGTTCATATTCTTTAAATGTGTTTAATAAAGTTAATAAGCACTAAATGCTACCTAGTGTATTTTGTAGTGTAACTTTTACACTTACAAATCAACTCTAATATTTTTACCCTTACACTAAAAAATTTACACGGGCAAAATTTTTTACTGTGTAGTTTTGGGTATTGATAATAGGGTTATTTAACTTTAAGTATACTTACATGCAATTTTACCATTGTAATTGCATTATTTGAATAATTCAGCACCATGTTATTACGCCACATATTTAGATTAACTAATTTTGGAACTTTGGTCAAACTATTATTGCTTATATCTAAATTTATTGATTTCATGGATGAAAACCACAATAGAATCTCACCATAAATAGGGTTATTTGCTATATGCACTATTTTCAACTGTTTACACTCCGAAAATGCGTTGGCTTCAATAAATTGTATAAGATTGTTATTTAAATTAATAAACTCTAACGACTTTAACTCATCAAGTATGTAATCTTTTAAACTTGCGAGTTTATTGTTTTGAAGATAAAGTGTTTTTAAGTTTTTAACACCACTAAAAAAATGTTCGTGCAGATCTTCAATACAATTTCGTGATAAATCCAAATCTTCTAATTGAAAATTACCGCGTAACATTTTTTCATTCAAATTATTTATTAAATTATTTGACATGTTTATGCTTTTAGCATCAAAAAAACTATAATCAATATGCTTAATTTTGGTTTTGCTCAAATTGATATAATCAATTATTGTTGAATTAAATCTTTCAATAAATGTTATGTTACTAAATGAACGAAAACCGAAATATGTTATGTTCTTTAAAACGTCTTGTACCACGTGTGGACCACCAAATGAACTCATAAGTTTTCCATAGTGCTCTTTTAACTGATGACAATCCTTATACTTGATTTTATAACCCATTTCAAAGTCCACATCGCAAAATTCCAATTTATGGGTCGCTAGACAATAAAAACTGTCCACATCCTCAACAGTACTAAAACTCACAGAACACTCTTGTAAATGAACGCCAACAAAACTACACAAAAACATTGTGAACATTTTTAAGCGAAGCATTTTCACAACCGTACAGGCCGAAAAAACATGTAATTATAAAATAAGTTTAGAAAATAAAAAATGCTTTTCCTGTTGCGGTAGAAAATCCGTCCTTAAATGATTAGGGGAGACCGGTATCAATTGTAATAAAATTAATAAAAAAATTTTCCCGCTGCAGTATCTATCTACTTATAAGGAAAACAATATAAAATTGTACACTCAGAGAAAAAATGTTACACAGTAAAAAATTTTGCCCGTGTAAATTTTTTAGTGTAGGGGTAAAAATATTAGAGTTGATTTGTAAGTGTAAAGTTACACTACAAAATACACTAGATAGCATTTAGTGCTTATTAACTTTATTAAACACATTTAAAGAATATGACCATTATTCATTGGTACATTCACACTCTTTATTATTAAAATAAATCAAAAGGGTAGAAAACTTAATGCGAGTGTTTATTACCCCTTAATGTGTTAAATAGTGACAAAATGTACACTACAGTGCATGCCAATTTCTTTGTCTGTTTTGATGTTACTAAGAGCACTTTTTTCTTTACACTACTAGTGCACATTGTATCACAATTAAAGTTAAATTACACCAATAGTGGCAAAATAGACTGAAAAAACTGGTAATAACCGAAATGCGTTTTAAAATGTTTGGTTGGTATCTATCTACCGGATATGCACTGCGTATACGCAGTGCATATCCGGAGATACCGCGTTGTGGTAGTGTGGCATTTTTGTTTAGTTAAATTTAGAATTATAATAATAACTATAAGTATTATACTTCCTTTTTCTTTAAGCCTTAATACTCAATAAATACCAATATGTTAAAATGTCCATACCCGACCTATATTATATATCAATAATTTACGGCAGTAGGTCGGGTACTTGTAACATTAATAATATAAATACATACACACTTGATTTACTTTTTATTTTCAAGTGTAATGGTTGTTATATTAACTTATACCTACATTTTTATTAATATTATGGAAAATTTGTACACGTGTGGTAAATCCCCGACATACAGCCGCCTGACGCCTCTCTACCAATGGGATCACCCATTTTGTATAACAGAAAAATGGATTACTGATGAATTCTCAAGATAATTCATTGCTTACAAGTTGACAGCCAGTAAAACATTGCATTGCTCTAAAACTTTTACGTTTTAAGGAACCATTTTGCTTAAGCCAGCCATACGACTCAAATATAAAATTATATTTTAAAAGGCACCGATTTTGATAATTGTCATAGATTTTTGTTCCAAATAAATGTTTCTCTTTATTTACCTTTTCGTTTTATTCACTGCCACCAATAGGTTTTACTTAAATAATAGTGTTAATTTACACTAGAAGTTTGCACTAAAAGAGTAAAAGTACCTTTCTAAAGTTAGAACTTTTCCAAAGTAGTGTTAATTTACACTGAACAAAAGTGGGATTTTACCCAGGAAGTGTAGAAGTACACGATTTTAGGTAAATTAACACTTTTTAATACAGTGTAAAATTATCCTCAGTGCTATATTGTTAAATCATACTTGCTTACTTGGGGAAAATTACACTACAAATTAACTCTAATTGTAGTGTTATATACACTGTTTAAAATATCTGTGGTGTAAAAAGTAATCTTAAAATGGTGTCAAAATCCAACACCAAGTAGTGTTAATATAACACCATGAATTATGGTTAAAAATGTGTACCGATCGCGGCAAAGGCGGTGTGGATCACGTGATGTTCTTAAATCTCGCCTCTGTTGACTTACATGAAGAATATATAAACTCAGGTAGTCCTTTGCTTTGGTGTGACACTACAAGTTGTTCGATACTAAAGAGACCTTAAATAGGTGGAAACAGCTGTCAATACTTGAAGTATTTTAAGTTAGTGGAACGCACTAAAAACATTATCTCTAGCGAGTTGAAGGTTCCATTTTCTGGAATAATACCACTGGTAATATACTAGTAATGCGTCAAGGAACTTCAATTCATTTAATTTGACCACAAACACATAATATTTAACACTGAAAAGGAGTTCAATTTACACCAGGTAATAGTATATTACACTACAAGGGCAGAAAGTGTGAGATTCCTGCACTGCGCGCCATAATGCCCGAGGCGAAGCCGAGGGCATCATGGCGCGCAGTTCAGGACTCTCACACTTTCTGCCCGTGTAGTGTATACTATTTTTCTTGCTACCCCGCAGAAAATACTGAAAAAAATTAAATGTATATAAAAAAACTTGTGTCAAAATTAAAATCTGACGTTTAATTTAATTCTGACGTTTACATTCAAAATCAATCAAACTGTAGCGTTGTCATGGTAATTCAGCGGTGCCAATACAGTAAAAATAAAAGGTTGTATTTTAATTAACAAATTACTACTTTATAACAAATAAAAGTACCATTTAACACTTAAAACAACATAAAAAGTAAAAAAGTAAAAACATAAATTGTTTATTTGTTGTTATAATTGCAAAATTATGGTTTAAAACTGTCATATTTTTGTGTTTCTCATGTTGGCAGTACGAAATTTGAATTGTGCTTAACGACTAAAAAATTTTTACTCCCGCTATTAGAGTGTGCGCGTATAGCTTGACCAATGCAAGAAACGTAAACTTTCTGCCGTGAAATCGGGGACGAAACAGCGTATTTTGAGTCGAGGTAGTAAGAAAAATTTATTTTAATACTGTGTGAAAGTTAAATTAACACCATTTTAGTATTTGAATTTACACCGGACCAACGAACCATATTTAACACCATTTTGGTTTGTATCGATATAGACCATGTATGGTGTTAATTTGGTGTTAAAATGGTCATGAAATTTTGAACAGTGTAACAACACTATTTAGTGAGTAGAGTTGATTTTTTTTTTACTGTGTACGAATTCTTTTTGTTATTAAAATATTTCATAAAATAAATTTTATATTTCATTGTAGTTTGTTGAGTAATTAAAAATAATAAAATCACTTTCACCGAAAGTGGCATTTTGAATAAAATAATTTAGAAAAATGAACTTATGGGTTATAAACGCTTTTAAAATTTCAAATCGATATCTTTTTTTTGTTCCCCAAAAACTTCTAATGAACCAGGAATTTGAAACACCCTGTATTAAAATATGTAATTATTCAATACACCCCCTATATTTTTTTATTTAATCAAACTTTTAAAGGCTGTTTTTCTCTTATTTTTGTGTTTTAATAAAATTGAATCTATTTGATTTATATACTCTGTTAAAATACTTAAAACTCACCCTGTATATGTTGGAATGAATACTTATGGGTAAAAATTAAAAAATACATATACAAAATATTTTATTTATATACAACAATATACAAACACGGGCATTATTTGCACTTTCTACATTTAAAAACAATTTCGAAAATATTTTATCCAATTAATTCAGACAAGTAAACATTTTAGATAAAGTAAATCAATACTGAGAATAATACTACCATTTATAATTTTTAAACTAAATCTATTCAAAAACAAAATATAAAATAGTAGTACTACAAAGCATTTAGAAATAAACAATTGATTTAATGACGGTTATAACAAACTACTATAAACTAATGCTTTTATAAACAAATCACCTTACAAAATATTAAAATTGTTTTTATACTATATGCAAAATTAGCCTAAAATATTACAGATATTTCGAAACCCATTTTTACAAAAGAATTGTAAAAATTACTTATAAATAGTATCACAAAAATGTATTTTAAGCTTATTTATTCTAGAGTCTAGAATCTAGACAAAAGGCCACAAAAAGTGCTGGCCATTTTGTATTTTAGGAGGTTTAATTTTAATAAATACTTAATCTAGAGGTCTATCTAAGGACTATCACAACGAATAAATTACCTATTAAAAATTAGTTTTTCACACAATTTCTTCCCTCATCTCCAAAAACTCCTGAAAAGATATTTCTTGATTTAAAGGAGTCACCAAACTAGTAATATACTGCTCCAACTCCTTCGCTGTCATGCTAGCTCGTTTTTCGGGAATATAGTTGGAGATTTTTTTGTCCATATTTATGACAAAATCGTCCTCCACCCAGGAAGAGTTAAAAATATTTCTGCTGCTGCTGGTCGTCACCAATTTTTTGATGGAATACAGGATCAAAAATACGCCCGATATGAAAAGGAGGTACATCCCACATTCTTCAACCATGGGCAGTACATTCAGATACATCCTGAATTTGACACTCAAAGATGTCGGCAATTGATATAACCTCTGAAACAAATAAAAAAAAGTGTTAAAATGATCCATGGTTATAGAAATCAAATTTATTAACGGGCAAGTATTTTGTAAAATTTTAACATAATTTTAGAAAACCAGGTTTCGTAATTATTTTAACAAAGGAACATATTTTTTCTACGACCACTATGTAAAAGTCACATTTCGTAATGGCATCGTTGCTTAGAAAATGAATCTTTTCATTGGCAAGGCAAAACACGAATGTAAAGTGACATTTCTGTGTGAAAAGTGAATTATTGTAATCTTGAATACCTCGAGAACGGTTAATTTTATCGAAGTTTGAGAGGTACACCTTTTTAATAGTAGCTGAACTGAGTAATCGAAAAATTGCATCAAATGGTATAAAAACCTAACCTCAAAGTTTGTATAAGACAATAAGCTTAAGCAACCCCTGTTTCTACGACACTGTGTTCACTCAAACAATTGAAATTATGTGTGAATATGTGTTTTAGTAGTAAGTGACTGTTCGCAAAATATCACCTTTCCAAGTCTACCATAGTAGAACTTATATTAAAAAAACTGATATGATAAGTAACACTTTATCACCCTGTATCTTTTAAACATACGTAATTAGGAAAAATATTTATTTAGATTTTCGTCTTATTTTGACTTGCTTAATCTGCTCCTAAATTTATGCAACTAAGTTTAGGGACACCTTGTATTGTACCAAATTTCTTTATAATTTAATGATTTGAAAATGGTGTATTATTTAATTGTGTGTAGGTTATTTTTGTGTTCATTTATGTAGGTACATAGGTATGTGTTAATTTTTTTGTTTTGGAAATTGATTAATAAAGCAACATTTCTTATCAAACTTCTTTCCATTTAAGTTCCCAATTTCCTAAAAATATTTTTGTTACTGGGTCTACAAAAAGGTTTGTAAAAAGAAGGTCCTTTTTGAAAATTACAAGAATTATACAGGATTTTGTTATTAAATCAACAAAATGTGTGTTATAATTACAAAGTACCTACTTATTCAATTAGTTAACAGATCTCAGTTGGTTGTAAACTAAACATAAAGTTATATGGACCTGGATTAACATAAAATCTGATTAATATTTGGTTAAAATAAACAAATATTTTTTTACTGTGTATTGAACGCAAATGTGAATTTGGTAAGTAAAAGTCCCCAATATGATTTTTAACACTGTCAATTTATATTAAAAAAAATACTTACGGATTCTGTCCAGAGGAGAGGTAGAATCATATTGTCAAAACGTTCGCTATTGGCAATTGTTTTTATATCCCCCAACGCCATGTTGATTTGATATCTTACAGCTACATCAAGGGGAAGGCCGGAATCCTGAAAATAAAAAAAATATTAATATATATTTTTTTTTAAGTCTAGAAAATAAATAAATAAAAATAATCAATTTTCAAAAAATGTGGAAACCTCCAATTATAATACTTACTGGTTGAATGACAAAGTACGATCTATGCTTATTCTCGTCTGGGTGGACACCTTCAATTCTGGAAGATAAAAATTCATTACCATCCAAATAATGCGGGTAACTTAGTGCAATAGGAAAACCATAGTAGCAACCATTAACATCTAAAAGACCCGGTGGCAGACATTTATTCTTGTTCTTGCAAAAACATTGATTCCGTTCGTCGTATTTTCCATTATCATCCGAATTTTCGAAGGTGTAAACGTAAGCCTTAAGGTTTGTATGAACCGTCTCGTTAACCCTAACCTGAAACGATAAAAATGTAATATTTTGATTTTTTGAATGCATATTTGTCCGTCCCAAAAATGCATACAAATCCGCCCACAAAACCCGTAAAAATTACTTACCAAATTTTTAGCTCTGCACATGCTTTTTCTGAAGAATTTTAACGTGTCATTTGGTTGAATCATACTGTTGAATTTAGTACCATCAGATGCGTATTTAATATCTCCACATGGACTGTCCCATTGGGGAATCTTGGTAGAACCACTGTATGTATCCAAAAGTCCTCCCAATTTTAAATCGTCCCTTCCAGTGTACACGGTTTCATAGTCACCGTCAAAATCATACATCTAGAAAAAAAATGCATAAAAATCCGTCCTAAAAATCCTTAATAAATATTTTATTTTATAAGATACAGTTTTATGACCTCTATCATTATTTTTCAAAATTTTAACAGATATTTGATGGTGGACACCAATTTGATGTTATTTGATCATTGCAAAGAAGAAAGAAATACAAATTTGGTTTACATTACGTTTTTCTACAATAAATTTTCTAAAATATTGTTTTTCATCTTAAATTCGTATTAAAAATATAAAAAATAAAAGACTCTTACTCTATCTATGAGGCCAAGTTTATCAAAATAGATCCAAGCAGGCATGAACTTGTTTCCCAAGGTCATCAAAGTACTGCTGTAACCAAACATGAACTCTTTAGCAGTCATTTGAACCAAAGGTTCAGAGTTTGTTTGACGAATAAGCATGTTTAGTCCTAGTTTGGTAAAATATGAGTCGTCTGAAACTACATGGGCAATACTCTGTAAAAAAAGAATAATATGTAAACAAATTATATGTCAAAAGAGAGATAATTTTATTATCTTTAAGATTATGTAAAAAAAATAATATTTTATGGGTTGATATTTGAAATAGTTTACAATATATGTATACAGCAATGTTAAATTAAGTCATCTTAAAAAAATTACAATCTTTGAGAGCCCATAACTCACTCAATTATAAAGCGTTTTTAAAAATTTTGATGTCAAATGATAGGCAATTTCATTCAATTTAACACAACATAAAAACATACATACATCTTACTATAATTTTTCCGAGATATGCCATATTTACTGTTGCAATGCTCTTGAATTGTTTTTTTTACAAACTTTGACAGGCTGTAAAATTATTTTTTTTGCATATTATGTAAAAAAATTATATGTCAAAAGAAAGATATCTTTTTATCTTTATGCTAATGTAAAAATTTAACTCTATCATATTAACAATTTTTGAGATAATCTACAATATACACTGAAAAAAATTATTACATTTAAATGTAAAGTTACAGGATTATTACCATATAAATTCCTAATTTTTACCACAAATTGTAAAATTACCTTTATTTTCGTCTAATTTTTATATATTTCAAGTAAATAAACATTTTTGTTCGTAAAATTACTAATGTTATGTATTAATTATTGATACAACAAGTAAATTTAACGAACTAAATGTAAAAAATACAATTATAACGTCTTACTGCATTATTTCAAATGTAAATATACTTTATTAGTCTTAATATTACAGGTTTAAATGTTTTTTTACATTCGGAGTGTAGTAAAAATTGCAAAATTACATTTCATATGTAACTGGAGAAGAAGCCTATTGGCTGGGAATTCGCGCTTGCCTGCCCACGCATCGGCATGTTAATGTTATCATGTATAAATACAATTCAAATAAAAAACATATTACATTAAAAATGATATTTTACATAAGAAATATAAATGAGTTACACGTCAATTATGCTATTACATTTTACATGTAAAATAATAATGAAATGGAGTATTTCAGTTATCAACAAGGCATCAAAATAACCAATCTCCATTACCGGAAATTTACATGATTTTTTTTTCAGTGTATAAAGCATTCAGTGATCATAAAAATGACAATCTTTGACAGATAATAACTCGCTTGATTTTAAACCGATTTAAACGATTTTAATGTAAAACGGTAGGCAATTTCATCCTCTATAAGTCAACATGAAACATTCATACAGTTTAATACAATTTTTTCGAGATATGCAATATTTACTGTTGCAATGTTCTCGAACATTCCGCATATAATTATATCCAATGTTGTTATTAACATGGCTTAATAAAAACCATCGAAAGTAAAAGCGCGCTGCCATAATCTGGTTAGCGTGGTGAACTTGAACTCAAAGTAGGCGGCATGGAAGTAATTTGGTTTGACAGGTATTAAGGGGTCTTCTTGTAGATAACATCTTTAGTGTTTTTGTTACAAAATTAAGGTTTTTGCAATTTTTTTAATAATTTATATTATTGTCTTGTGAAATGGGAGAAAATATGAAAAATTATTGCAAATAATTACAGAAAATCATATGGTTTTACACTGAGATTAAAAATGTTTGAAAGATACCTTAAATAACAATAATTAAATATAGGAAATAGGTACCTGATAATATTATGTTATTTAAAGATTGCATTTGTATAAAAGTGTTTTTTTTTTTTAATTTAATAGGACTAAAATATTAATATTTTCTAAAATTACTCTTAATAAATAAATGTAAGATAAATCAATAAAAAATTATGTAATTTAACAAATATAAACTTTCTTCATCTTAAATTTTCAAGGTTTCAAAGTAATTTTCTTTCATAGGTAGGTACTTTACTTTTCGTTTTAAAAATCATGATTTTAACGAACAAATATTTTGACATAAACATGGGCAAAATAAAATGAAATGTATATTTAGGGTGTTACTTAAGTATGTACAATCCGCAAATGTTTTCAAGATACATGGTGTTAAACTTTGATAAACCTTAACGAATATATTTTTATATATATTTTTTTTAACTAAAATTACAACTTTTTTGTCTCTTAATTTTTTTTATTTTTGCTTAGTTTTCGAGAAAAAAAAATAATAAATATCTTGTGTGGTTCAGGAATACGGGGTGTGTTCAGAAAATAACGGGAATTGTTAAATTACGCGGGTTCGGAGGGTCCGGATGTCATAAAATTTTCTTTATTATGTTGGTATACATGCCCCCGAAGTATGATAAAAACTTTAGCTGTTTTCATTGTTTACTTTGTCTGTGGCAGCCGCTAAGGTTAGACGTGTTTTATGAGCTCGGCGATTTTTCTTTCGTTAAAAGAAATGGATCAAAGATTTTGTATCCAATTTTGATTAAAAAATTAAATAAATTCTGTGAAATGTTAACAAAGGCCTATATAGTGAGTCTGCTATAAGTAAAACAAGAGTTTACAAGTGGTATAAGAGTTTCCAAGATGGCCGTGAAGACGTTGAAGATGACGAACGCCCCGAACGCACAAGTACATTAACAACCGATAAAAAGATGGAAAAAGTGGAAGAAATGGTTATAAACCATCAGAAAAGTCGCTGATGATGTTGGTATATCGATTGGCTCATCCAATGAAATTTTTTCGAATGTTTTGGGTATGAAACGCGTGGCAGAAAAATTTGTTCTAAAATTGTTAAATTTTGAACAAAATTCTTGGCCAAAAACAATACTGTAATGATGCCCCAGCCTCCATATTCGCCAGACATGCCTCTGTTTGACTTTTTCCTATTCCCAAAAATAAAGAGAACCTTAAAGGGCCGTCGTTTTGCAAGCATAGATGACAATAAAAGCGCATCGCTGAAAGAACTAAAGGCTATCCCAAAGATCGAGTTTTAGAAGTGTTTCGAGTATTGGAAGAAGAGCTGGCACATGTGCATAATATCCAATGGGGACTATTTTGAAGGCGACAACATTAATGTAGACGAATAAATAAATATTTGTTTCAAAAAACGATATTCCCGATATTTTCTGAACACACCTCGTATGTAATTTTTTTATCTAAAACAAAATTTAAGACGCTAAAAAGTTGTATTTTTAGCTGCTTAATCCGAAAAAAATACAAAAAGTCAGTGGCGTATATTTTTTTGTCAAAAAATTTGTTGATGTGGCCCTTGGAAAGACACTGGACTTAATAAATTTAAATCAAGTCAGAGCTAAATTATCACTACAAATAACACTGCCAAATTACAAAAAAAAGTTTAACACCCTGTATCTGAAGCATTTTGTCTTAAGAGTCGTCTATTAAATTTATTGTACATACTTAAGTAACACCCTGTATAGTATAAGCACCTCGAACAGGAGTTTACCAATATTTTACTGTTGTATAGAAAATAAAAAATTAAACAATATTATTGTGACATAATTTTTAAAAAAGTCAATATTCAATGTTATTTTTTAATGATGTAAATATTTCTTTTAATTACAAAATCTTTTAAGTATAAAGTCAATATCAAGTTCATCATCAAGTTTTTGCAATTTGTTATATAACAAGTTTATTACGACAAAACTATTTAGGATTTAAACGTAATATTTTTGCCTTTTTTGATTAAATAGTTAACCCCTTTTAATTTGGATTTGGCTTATTAAACATCTAGATCAAAATAATTATTAATTAATAAATTGTGTAACCTATTGTTTAGAACCATCCTGAATAATATTTGTGTAAAGAATGACACGTTTATTAACGAATCATTAAAATTTATATATTTTTGTGCAACCAAATTGCCTTACATAATTTTATTTTTTTATAGGCTAAAACTTCAAAAAAATATTTTTGTTAGATAACACACTCGTAAAGGGAAATCTAAGCATTTGATGGTCAATAAATTTGGTAATTGTTACTTAAGTTTCAACATTTTGTTTATTGCGTTAGAAACACATTTTCTTGATTTAAAAACAAAAATATTAAAACGTTAAATTTGACAGCTCGTAGCATGGTTAATTTTTGGCCAATTTTTAAAAATTTGACGTTAAAAGATAGATAATTTTATTGACTTTAAAAACACATAAATATCTCGTACGTTACACCGCAAAATTTCTAGATATTGGACAAAACACGTTGCAATTCTTGGATTAAAGATATATTGTGCAAAGGTATACTTTATTTTCCACTTGTTATTTACACTTTCTTGCTTGCAAAATAGCCGTAGTTTAAAATTACCATTTGGGTTCGATTTTTTGCAAGATATTGCCAATAATTTTCCCGCGAAAGAATCAGAATTAATGCTTTAAAGTAAAAGTAGACATGTTTTGAAACAAAATTCTACGGTAAAATTATTATTTTAGATCTTACATTAATTTGCCAACTTTTGTACTTTTTGCAGTGTTGCAAATTTATACCGGAAAAAGATGTTTTAAATAATTAATTATGTATAATTTAAAAACTATATGGTTATCTGGAATTTTTTTATTTTGAACATACTTATAAAAATTGCCCTTGAAAATTTAAATAATCTAGAATTTTTTTTATGAATAAATGGTTTTAGATATCTTATTTATTTACCTATTTTATAAAATAATGATGATTATAAAAAGTCAATTATTTCACAATATTACAAACAAAAAAACAGTATCAAAATTTTACTAAATATAATATTTATTAAAATATAATAATAATAAGTAGATATTACAGCTCAGGTTCCAGTTTTTTAACCAAAATTAATTATTTTTTACAATGTTCTAAAAGTCTAAAACCTATCCTCCGTGACTGTTACTCTTTCTAGGTTAACCTATACGTTTTCAAATATCTGAGGTAGTAAAAGCATACTAAAAATATCAGTTCACAAAGTAAATTAAACACATCCAAAGCAATCGAATCAAATATAAAATATTATTAAAAATTAAAAGAAATAATTTTTATAACCATTTATGTAGGCGTTACAAAAATTGATTATATCCTCCGTGAATCTGTTTTTGCTTTAAACTTTATGAAATCATTTTAAATAAGCAAAAACATATGTTTACGACATTATAGATGCATGTGATTCCTGAAGGTCAGTTAGAATTTATATACAGATGAGAGTGTTGCTGTTTTATAATTTAAAAGTTTAAGTTCATTAATTTGCTATTTAAAAACCTATTCAGCGTGAAGTGTAATATCTCATTTCTCTCTAAAACTGACATAGTAGGCCTTGTATTTTGTAAAAATATGGCGTTCTTTGCTCCAAAAATAATATTGATCAAGATCTACACTTTAAAACAAATGACATTTAATTTATTATTAAAATTATATCAAGAAAAAAATCAGTTACACATTTATAAATTTTATAGAATTTTATAATTATAAATAATTTTTTTTACGTAATTTACAAAATTCATTAGGAAATATGCAAAGAACGACCTTTACAGGTATTTTTAATTGTTTTTAATTATAAAATTTGTATTTTAAATATTTTTACAATATTTTAATGCATTTATGCTGTTTTTATTAAAGAAAACCATCAACACCATTAAATACAAAATTATTACATTTTATAATGTGAATTAAATTTGTTTTTAGTAATGATGGTTTTTTTAAATTATAATTTATAAATTGTACCTACTTATTTATTCATAAAACAGCATAAAACAATTTTATAAGGACGTATCACCTTAGCTAGCCGCAGATGCCTTGTTTATTTTGTTTTCATAAGATTTGTTTAATATTTAGAAAGTATACAGAGTTGCCAAGTTTATTTAAATTATATAAAAGCATTATTTTAGGTTAGGTATGCAATAATAATTTTTTGTTCCAAATTACTATGTAAAAAATATGAATATTTCGGAACCCCGACGTTCAATTGTTTTTTTTGTTTTCACCACTGTAATCAGGAGAAAAAATAACACCAATTTGCTAATTTAACCGACTTTGTAGCTCCAATAATAAGAAAGTTAGGGTGATGAGCAGATAACTTTGGACACCCTGTATTTATTAAAAAAATCTTGTTATTTATTTCTATCAAAATTGTACTGTAGTAGGTAAGTATTTTGTCGAAAAAATGTTTTTTTTTAAATTGGGTCGTTTGGTAAAGGGGCATTTTTTTGTTCCACCCTGTACAATCAAAAAAATAAGTTGTTACATATAACAAGCTTCAAAAGACCTTTCAAATGATATGTAACATGACTCACTTTGTTTTTTTTAATGTGACCTTCTGGGTTGGGTTGGAGGCCTTTTGTTTTTTTTATTCATACATGTCAAAATGTATTACCCAAAAAAGTAGGTTTAAAGTACTAGAATTCCAAATTACCAAAATAAAATTGTAAAATGCGATTTTTTTGTTATAATTTCCGACTCACCCTGTATAAAATCTAAAAAAAGTAGTAGTTGTTTATAATCAGCGATCACATTGAAAAAAATGTTACTTTGACAATATTTAATGTCTAGTAAAATACTAAAATTTCTGATTCCTAACCTGGTCTATTTACCGTCCGCACTGTATAGAATGAAAAATTGTATTTTGACAGATTTGAACAAAATCGGACTTGAATTAATATATATATTCGGTTGTAATAGTGCACTATTTTTGAGGCACCCTGTATAGAAAAAGCAAAATCTAACTTTTTCAATTTGCAAATGCGCCCATATAATCCACAAATTGGCGAATGCGCTGATAAGCCTGATAAATGAACCAACTGCCACATATCATTATTTTATTATTTAATTCGATTTTCTGAAAATTCTTAAACATTCGGCTTTCACATGGTTTATTAACCGGCATACATATTTAGCAATTAGTTATATAACGCGTAAAATCGAGTGCAAGGTTGTCCATACAAAATATTAACGCCAAAGTAACCAAAACAACTCGAAAAGTTAGCATAAGTAATTATTGTTTTTATTTGTTATGATAAATAGTGTTGCCTTTGACACGGGCACCGCGCATGCCCGGGGCGATTCTTTTTTGTCACTTTGTCAGCCATGATTGCAAAATGTTTGAGAAGTTGACGCGTATTTGGCGTCGTTTTGATAAAAATGCGGATATTAGTTTAAATTTGTGTGTTTCGGTGCGTTATTTTAGTGCGTGAGTGGCCCTATGTTTCTCTGAATGTAAAATAACGGCAATATAGCGACAGGGTTAGGGCTTTAAAGGTGAAAATAGTGTTTGTTTGGTTGCAAGTTGTTTTTGAATGTTTTTTTGTTGTTACAGGAAGGTCTAGAACGAGACTGATGAACAGGGCGATTGGCAACAAAGTAGTAAGTGTTTTTTGACTATTTTATAGTATTTTAGAAGGAATGGAAAAGTAGCTATTAATTAACAGGGTGCATACAAAATCAGACATGTAAACTTTCAGTTAAAATTGAGTGTGATTCATTAATATTAGAACAAATAAAATGCCAGTATTCCATAGTTACGCATTTTATCACCTTGTTTACACGTTACTAAGGATTTTGAAACTTTTCTTGATTTGACATTTAAATTGTGTGTTTGTTGTATGATTAAAATAATGAATTATAAACTCTAAAAGATCGATGGGTTGGTGTAAACGATAATGAAATTAAGGGAATTAATCAAACCACTTGTTATAAACTATATTATTATGGGTAAAAGTTTACATTTTAATAAAAATTTTATTTTTTATTTTTTTTTTAAATTGTGTGTTTTTCAACAAAATATATATACAGGGTGATTCACCTAACTTATTCATTAGAAGTTTATGAAGAACGAATAAAGATATCTATTTGAAATTTCTATAGCAATTATAAGGCAGTGTAAACAATTTTTTTAAATTATATTCCATGCGTTATCACTTCCGGTTAACCGGAAGTGATATCAACTTTGGTGTTTCAAATGGAACCATATAAATATTATTGCATTTTAAAATTATTCGTAAAATTCTGGAATTACTAAAATTTGATTATTTTTTTTATTTTTATCAGTTTTTGAGATATTTAATTTTTTTCAAAAATTTTGACAGATGAATTGTCTTATTAATACTATGTCTGTATTACCACTAACTGTAATGTTAAAAAGTTAATGTTTGGTGTACCTGTTAACTAAGGAGCACTCTATCGAAAACCATTAATAGTATTTAAAAATTTTATACAGGGTGTCTGGTATTTACGTTGACTTTTTTGTCACTTTAAATACCAATAACATTCTTATTTTCAACGAAACTACCATACAATTTTTACATCATTCGACACAAATCAATGTTTTTCATTGAAATGCTGCAGTATTCCCTATAAAATGAATATTTACAGAGATATTACAAAAAATGTAAAAAACGTTGGATTGTCTTTTATTTCGTATTTATAAAGTAATGTCAATGTCAACGTCTCTGACAATTGTGTTACGATGGATGATAATAATAACATACACTAATCAAGATATTCTAAACATGTTTTATACATATGGCGAGTGCGGAAAAGTTTCAGAAAGAACAATTGGAACTTTTAAAGTGTACAGGGTGTCCAAAATTGGTTGTCCCGAGGGTTGTCCGTATAGGCTATCTCAGTAAATATAAATGCTAGAAAAAATTCGACCACGCATCCCCGTCGTCTTTTTTAAAGATACATCGGATGATGTCTTTGAATTTTCTCGATTCGCATTTATTTAGGAGATATACCTATTTTTTCAATTTTTGCCAATTTTGACAAATGCTTGTTAATATTTGAGTTACGAATACAAGTTTAAAATGTTATGTAGACACTTTTTATCACAGAATTCATAGTGTCGACAGATTTTTTTTTAGCTCTTTTAGGTTAAGAGAAATGACCCTATACGGACCACCAATTTGGGACACCCTGTACTATCAGTATTGTTCGTTGGATTGTTTTTATTTCGTATTAAACAATAATATTTATATGGTTCCATTTGAAAAACCAAAGTTGATATCACTTCCGGGTTAACCTGATAATTTTTAAAAATAGTTTACATTGCCTTACTCTAAAAATGAATATAATTAACAGCCAATTCTTATGTAAAATTTTCCCCTGAATCCGAAAATACCGTCAAAAATTATGAAAGTGTAGTTTTTGAGATATAGTTAATTCCATATTAATTGGAAAATTGACTACCTATATCTCAAAAACTGTTCTACTTTTTAAATTTTGACAGTATTTTCGGATTCAGGGACAATTAAATTAAATTTTGGGATACCATGGTAAAAGTAGCCACTTATAACTATTAAATTAGTCATTTTTGACTTGTGTATTTTTTTAAAAAAATTTCATTGCGTTATCACCGGATGTGACATCAACTTTGGTTTTTCAAATGGAACCACTATTAAATAAGTCATTTTTGACTAATTCATTTTTGGAGAGTAGGTATATCTAGTTGCTTAACAAATCGATTTTTTTCCGTTCTCCATAAACTTCTAATGAATAAGTTTAGTGAATCACAATGTATATAATAATAATAATATCAACAATATTTTCACAACCCCCTTGATATGGGTATTAAATGAAAGGGTTCGACAAGTAGAAAGAGATTAGGAGGGTGAACATTTTAAAAAAATTTAATATTTCCAAAAAATTTAAATTTTTAAAATTCCTAAAATCTTGAAATTTCCAAAATTTTTAAAATATCCAAAAATTTTCAAAATCTTTTAAATTTCAAACAGTAACAAGTCAGTAACTAATCAGCAACTAGTCAGTAACCCCTCAGTAACTATCTAGTAATTAGTTACATAGTAACTATAGGACCTATATTCATTTTACCAATTCACTAAAATAAACATTAGGCGCGTGATAGCCACTTTTGCTTACCAATAAGGCGATGTTTGGCATTATTACTAGATCGTCCTCCCTTCTTCCTTCTGATAGTTCTTCGACCCAAACTAATTTATGTCTAGGGTTTGCGAACAGGGTGCCATTTTCGAAAAATGTGACATTTTCATGCGACATTAATTCTCTAAAAAAAAAAACGAAAAAAAAAAGTTAAAATGTGAAATAACCAACTCTTCACTGAAGAGTCTTCAGGGTTAATACATGGTTAATCATGGCAACGCTGTATCCTATAAAGTGCAATTAACTTTTGACAATATAAGTGGGCTGTATCATTATAATATCCAGCGAGCAAGTGTTTAAAAACTTGTTGCTAACTTCAACCCGTGACTAAAGCTCCATAAAACCACAACTTGTCAATGTGTATTTAAAAGGTCACTTAGTGTCATGGAAGCATGTACAGGATGATCCATTATAAATGTCCACCCCCAAGTAGGTTTTATAGTTTTATTAATAATTATTGTTATTGTTTATATGGTAAATATTAAATATTAAACAGTTCAACAAATGTGTTTCTGGATATAAAATATAGGTCATTCCATAGGAAAAAAAGATGTTTTTATCTGTTATTTTTTTTGGATCCCCCTGTATACGTAAACATAACACGAAAAAAAACTTTTAGTTGAACCCTACAACTTTTATATAAAACTTTTTTTTCTAAAATCTAAACAAAAAAAGTTAGGGGGGGTGGACATATATAATGGATCACCCTGTACAATAATGGGCGTTTTAAAGGTGGACGTAGACAAACAAGTTTTTAATATTGAAGATTGGATTTCTATTTTAAAATGCAATTAGTTACACATTTCAAGACAATGGTATACAGAAGATTAATGTCGAATATATTGGTATAGAAACCAAAATCTTTATTAGGACTACTTTACCCATTAGTGCATTAAACAATAAACGCAATTATTGTGTTATATTCGTTATATAAAGACCACAAATAGTTTGTGGTAAAGACAATAACATTGTCGTATGTATATGTATATATATGTGACGTATGTATACACTGTTTGTGTTTTTAACATCAATAAAGTATTAGTATTGGTCTCGGTATTGGTATTAGTTTTAATATACATACATATGTATATATTAGGGTGTCCCAAAAAAAAAGAATATATTTTTTTTTCATGTCTCTTGTAAAAATATGTTAGTTTATCATGCTGTGAGAGCCCTTTCAAAATATCAGCTCGATTAAAAATGTTGTAGGGGTCGCTCAAGATTTTTAAAAAATTTCAAAATGGTCAAAAATTGAATTTTTGTTTTATTTTAATTCTTTTTCTCGTCTCGATATTATTTTTTAGGTTGAAAATAATAAAAATTCTGTAAATTTCAAATCAATATTTTGATTTCTAAAGGTCGCTAAAAGTTCGTTGATATTTATATTCAGAGGTCGCTCGAAAACATTCAAAATACTCTACTTTGAAAGTTAAAAAAATCTTGAGCGACCTTAAGAAATTAAAATATCGATTTGAAATTTTTAGAATCATTATTATTTTTAAATTAAAAAATAATATCGGAAAGAGAAAAAAAATTAAAATAAAAAAAAATCCAATTTGTGACGATTTTGGTAATTTTTAAAAATCTTGAGCGACCCCTAAAAATTTTTTAATGGTGCTGATCTTTTGACAGGGCTCTTAAAACATGACAAACCAACATATTTTCACAAGAGACGAGAAGAAAAAAAATATTCTTTTTTTTTGGGACACCCTAGTATATATATTTTTTAATTGTATATATCAGTATTTAGTAATTTAACATAATATGAATATAAAAATATATTTTTTATTTAAGGAATTCCTTTTTATTTTCTGCCCACTTAATAATTATAATGTGTAATAATTAAAATGAAGGAAATTTTTAGCTTTTATTTATTTTTAATAACAACTCTTAAAAAATAATTATTTTCATTAATTTTACTTACTAGTTGCGTTAGTATATTTTTAGTTCTTTACGATTTTATTTTTTTATAAAATGCCAAAATAAACCTTATTTAAATTAAAATTTAACGTGTTTTTTAAAGTTAATATTTTATTCAAAATTAACTTAAACAATTCATAGGGTATATAAACCTATAGGTTTAATTAGCATAATATCTGGTTATAAGATTTTTTTTAAATTATAATAATTTTTACATAAAAAAAGTTAATGGGTTTTAAGTTAAGTAATTATTAAGCACAATGAATTTGAAGTGTAAGTAATAGTATATTACGGATCAAGTTTGATTAACGCAATCTAACGAATTTTAAGTAGGCACGATCGAAGCTTGCGAGAGAGTGTTCAATAAAATGTGTGTCTAAAAAGTTTATTAAAAGAAATAACCAAATTTTTGTCAGAAATCTGTTTTACCGTCTTTCAAATTGGGAATTTTTTTTGAAAATGGACTAATAACCGTTTGAATCCGATATAGAAGCAGTTTTTCACAGTAAAAGTAAGGATGTTTTTTAGGTACTCCACCCGAATTTTTTAACGTTTTAAGCTAAGTTGGAAAAACATAAAATCTAAACACCCTGTAGTTAAATTTACATGTAATACGTGAATGTTATTTTTTTTGACAATCAAAATATTTTATCAAGAATGACTTTTCTTTAAAAAATTCAAAATAAAAATATAAAAAAACAAAGAAAAATCAACTTTAAGTTTAGATTTTTTATTATACAAATTTAAAAAAAAAATAAAATAATCGATTTTATGCTTTTTAAACATCCTGTAATAATCCCATTTTTTTATGCCAATGTTATTTTGACGATCAAAAACTCAATCTCCCGTATTTGAATAATAATAAGACTTAAAACAATGTAAACAAGGTTTCTGTCTGTCTGTCATCATCTGTCATCTGTCATCATACCTTTATGGTGCGCTACTTTTATGGCACCCTACATAAACATATTGGAAATTTTTTGTTATTAGGAAGGTAACATTACGTAGATTTTTATTACCTCACTTTTCTTTTAATCCTGTATTAATATGATTTTGATGAGTATTTTATCACCAAAGTAAAAACATATTTAACGAATTTTTGCTTTACTTATCAAAAATTTTTCCAATATACTTAAAAATCAATTAGAAACGAACTATGATTCATTTAAAAAAACTTACAAGCAAACGTAACCAATTAATAATGGTTAATGTACAAATTGACCAACTTTAATAATTGAAAAATTATGTTATTCGCTAAAAACATTTTTTTTTAAACTAACACTGCAGTAAACACTTATATTTACAAAAACCTAACACATATTCTTTGGATCAAAATCATTTTTTTCAAATTTTCATTTTGCCACCGTATTAAAAAAATTACGATTCATTTTACAATAATGTAAAGAGAATATTTGCTATAATTTATGTACCAGCCGTTTTTTATTTTGAATTTTTTTTTAAATCGTAGAAGGCCTTTTATATATAGTTTTAAGTCCTATTATCTAGATTAGGTCTGATGTAGCTACATAACGTTTAAACAATGGTCCAATTGGGAAATATTTTTTTTAGGTAATGTGCACCTTTTTAATAACATTTTTGTTGTTTTGTATCTTATTTCTAATAAGTTAACTTGGTACTGAAAATCGAAGGTGCTTATTTAAAATAGCTATTGCAATACATAGAAAATTACTGTTCCGTCATAATTTAACCAATAATAAAGGAAATGATTAAAGAAAATCTATTAGAAATAATTGGGTACACAATAATGATAATAATAATTTCAATATAAGCTGTCTATCATTTGTGTATAAACATTGAGAAATGTTCTGCCATTTGTGTCAGGGTTGCAAATTTTTTCACCTGGATTCGCTATAGATTAGACAACATTGCTTTTCTAGATTTAAAATAATATTATAATTATCGAAATGTTAATTAAGAAAGTTAAGTTGATTACGGAAAGTTTTTCAAACAATTAATAAAGATACTTTAAACAGAAAAGTAATATGTAATTTTCTTAAATAAAAAAGTGTCATTACATGTTTAGAATAAAGTATAAATAATAATGGGGGAAGTCCCCATTTAATGAAAGATTCATATCTAATTTAAATTTTAAAGTAAAATCAGTTTAAATAAATTAACTAAGTACCTATCATTAATTGTGAGTAATTTAATAAAATTAAATAGAAAGTGTAAGATTATCATCGCCCAACTTGTTAGGTTATTTTTAAACACTTCGCGACCTGAGAATTAGATTGTTCTATCTGCCAAAATTTAAAGAGGAACAAATAGCAGTTTAAAGTTTAATTTATATGCAAATGAAATTTTAAAAAGCTGTTTTTCCGTGTTTAGGTTTTGGGAGATTCTTTCTTTCAAAAATCTGACACGGAAAAACAGCTTTTTAAAATTTCATTTGCATATAAATTAAACTTTAAACTGCTATTTGTTCCTCTTTAAATTTTGGCAGATAGAACAATCTAATTCTCAGGTCGCGACTTGAACTTGAACTCGCTGCCATTGCAAAATCATAATTTAATGTACTAAATTTACGAAAAATATCTAAATTTTTAACGACCTTTTCATGTAGAGCATAACACCGCCTTGTCCTAATTACACTAGTTTACAAAATCGAAAAAAAAATCTGCCCGCCATATCCCATTATAATTTTTCCTTGTATTTTGACCCACTAAACACGAAAATCACACTCAATTTTTTTTATGGAAGCGTTTTTGAAATATTAATTTTCAAATATGTTTTGACGTTTTTGAGTATATCTTGAATTCTAATTGATCGATTTGGTCAAACAAGCCCTTAAATTGAAGGTATTTGAGCCCTATAAAACTTTCTTTTACATACTTTTTATATCGGTTAAGTATTTTGACGCTAGCGATTTTAATAACTTAAAAAATTCGTTTTTATGTTTACATATCGTCCTGGGAAAGGTTTAAATCAAACAGGTAACTCCAGTTTGAATTTTTTTTCGTGAAGCTGACATTTTAACAAAAAAAACAAGCTAATCTTGATAAAAATACATGAAAAAATGGCGTTATGAATTTTTTAGTGGAAGACCAAAGTTCAGCTTTTTACCGATTTTTATTTTATTTTTTTTCTTTTTTTTCGTAATATGTTAATTTTTTAATGAAAACCTAATTAAAGTGCATGATTGGAGTTTTTAAAGTTTTTTACGTACTTTTTTCACCGAAAACTTTATATAAAATTTAAATTTGACATGACTCCGCAAACGTGAATTCTTTTGTTTCTCGTGTTGGCATAGTGACATTTGACTGCTATTTTTTGATATTTTAACAGAGTATTTTTATCATGATTTTATTTAGTTAATAAAAAGTGTAAAATAAGTAAAAGAAGTTGAGAGTTCAAGTGCGTAAATAACCCGAACAACAAAATAAAACTTTCAATATCTATTGTTCAATATTCAATATATAATTTAATTTCAATATTTAATGTTTAAAATAAAAATCAATGTTCAATATTACTAACTTTATATAACTCAATAAAATGAAAAAAAATTCTCGAAAAAACTGAATTTTGGTCTTTCACTGAATAATTAATAACTTTGCCATTTATCCATGGATTTTTATCAACAGCAGCTTATTTTTTTCCTTTAAGTATAATCTATACGTAAAATAAATCAAACTGGACTTATCTTTTCGATTTCTATCTTTCCCAGAAAGATATGTAAATTTTTGACCTCGATTTTTGTAAAAAAAAAAAAAAATCGCCAGTATCGAACTACTACTACCAAAACTATACAAGAGAAAGTTGTAGATGGCTCAATTACCTTCTACTTTTAAAACGTCAAAACACCTCAGAAAATTAAAAAAAAACAATTGAAATTTCATATCTCGAAAAAAATTTTAAGTGTGATTTTCGCGTATAGTGAGCCAAACTACACAAGAAAATCATAGTGAGACATGGTGTGCAAAATGGCTGTAAACTAGTGTTATTGTAGTTTAGTCTAGAGAAAAGGCAATACAGTATGATCTAAGGTTTATCCATGTCTTACATACTCCAAGGTTTTTATATGTACTGTGTTTTTGACTTACTTGTACACGTAGGGTCCAACTTCTTGAACTTTTAGTTTCGAATCCTTCCCGCTCATGTAATCTTCCTTGTTTGTGACATTCCACAGGAAAACTCTTAGATATAGATCAACCGGAGGTGTCCTCCACATTTCGAAAATCTCACCGCCTTCTGAGAACGTGCTTTTCTGAAAATAAGGAAAAAAATAAAAACAAATAATAATAAAAAAAAAATAACAAAAAATCTACATTTTAGCCACTATTTTCGGAACACCATGTATACTTTATTTTAACTTACCCATTGGTACAAGATGTCGTATGGTTTTACTAGTAAAATAAACACCCCAGAAAGGATTCCAAGGACTCCAATAAAGGATATAGTTAATGCACCTGTAAAAAAAACCTTGTTATTAATTATTGCTCATACCAAATATGCAAAACTTGCAAAATAGTACAAATTTACTGTTTTAACAACTAATTTTGAAAGTAAAATGTTAAAGTCCATAATCTGTCTAGACATGTATAAAAATTTAATTGTTTAGAAAAAAATAATACAAATTATTATGGGATGGATTTGTATACTTATTGTATAATTATTAAAAAAAAATAATTTGCATGTCAAAATTTAGCTCATAATGTTTTATATTTTTAATAAAGTAAAAGTGTAAAAGTTATATTTAAGTATAATTAAGTATAATAGTTTATAAAGTTATTTAAATAAAATACACACAACAAAAAACATATTTACTATTTACTATAATATTATTACTATAATGAAAAAGGTTGATGTACTATTAATATGTGTGCGTATATGCATTTTTTTCATGTTAAAAACTAGGTAATACATAAATTAATGGAATATAAATTGTTATTTTTCAATTAAACAAGTTACCGTCTATAAAAAATTATATAAAATATGTGTTATTGTATAGAGAAAGATTGTTATTAAGTAAGTTGTAGCTTAGGTCGAAAGATTTACAACTCATAACTGAATAAAAATTGTAAATTTTTATTTCTTTTTACAAATCATCTTAATTTTCACAAAAAATAAAGTCTTGATTATAAATTAATCAAGTTAATTAATTAAACGCCATTAACGCCATTAATTAATTTAATTTAGACACGAGCGAGCTGGCGAGCGAGTGCTTAATAAAATGATTGTCTAGACAAGTTTATAAACGAGTTGCATACTATACTATACATTTTGTACAACAAATACTTAATATTATCTAAAAAATGATTTAAATTAAATATATGTATAAAGCGACATCTATACGAAAATAAAGTAACCATCTCAATAAACATTTTCGACGTAATTTTCACCATTAACATTGCCCGTTATTATTTTAATTAAACTTAACAATTATTGATACTTTATAACATTAAAATAACTTCAAAATATTACTATGTTAAGAAAATATGTTATCCTTTGATTTTTTTTATTATATATATGTGCGTATATGTATACTATAATTGCAAAATATCACAAGTATTAAACATTTTTACACGGGCAATGTTAAAGGTGCAAAAAGTGATTTATTGGAATTCCCGTTAAAATTTCTAACTTGGGAATCTACCGGCGTTAAAATCTCAAATTTTGCTGTGTTAATCAAAATGTATCCCTTGAATATAGACTAACAATAGATATAAAAGCAGTTTTTCCACAGTTAAAGAGAAGAGAATGTTTTATGGGCACTGTACGCAAAATTACTAAGGCGAAATCAAAAGGTCAGTACAAACGTTCATATAATCTTTTCGAATATTGGCGTCAAGAAACTAATTAAGACTTTTGTATTTTTGTATTGAGATAATAAAATAATTTTTACATTAAGTATTATTTTACAAGAAAGGCACTTTATTTTCACGATTTTATGACATTTGACTAACTTTAGCCCGTGACTAAAAACCTGTTGCCAACTTCAGCCCGTGACTAAAGCGCCATAAAGCCACAACTTGTCAATGTGTATTTAAAAGGTCACTTAGTGTCATGGAAACATGTACGATAATGGGTGTCTTAAAGATGGAAGTAGAAAAATTATTTAATTTAAACTTTAACAGGATTTTAATTATTTAAACCCTTATAACATTTTTACAGGATCAATAATTAATTTAACGAAAATATGGTGTTATATTTGGAATATTTTTTATTTAGTTCTAATTTTTCTTTCAACGTCAAAAATTAAAGGCCCATTTGGGAATGTTTATTCATCTATAATTTCTTGGAAACAATCATGTTTCATATTTACCACTAAGGAAGCAAAATATTTAAATCATTTGATTAGCAAAATATCCGATACGCATTACAATATGATCTTTAATTTTTTATAGCTCACCTAATGTTAAAATTATGCACCTAAAACCTTGTATTTATTTTATATTCTATAGTATACAAGTTACTAGGCAGAAATATACACATTGATTGATAAGGACGTAAAAAATTGTTGTTTAAAATATTTAAAAACTACTGAAATAATTACATTTTGTTTATTAATAAATTAAAGCAATTTTAAACATACTTGCAGATTTTCCTAATTAAATTTGATTACATATGAACTCGTGTATAATTAATTGCTTATTTTTAAAATCTTGATAAAAAAGTGATTTTATGAGCTTTTTATTGGGTAATTAATTTTATTAATGAGAATTACTTTAAATGTTCTTAAAATTGCATTAAACAAATTAAAAATAATCATAGAAAATTGGTGGCATTTTTTTCAATAACTCTCTAAATGTAAAGTGTATTATTATACATTGAACAGGTTACATTTATAAATTATTGTATAATTAATTATTCTATAACATATTTTTTGTTTTTTTTTAATGTTCTGCGGTTGTATAGCATATTACGTTGAAATTGTTTTGTAGCAAATAATTATGGGTAACATTACCTAAATGCAAAAAAGAAACAAAATATTGTTAGATAAAACTTAATAATACCTTTACTTAAATCGTAGTTTGATACATAACATATATATAGATATTTTCCTGATAAATACAAATTTTCTGAACATTTTAGGGTTGTCAGGTTTAAGTAAAATAATTACATAAATATTAATAAAAAATAAAAATTAAATTTAATTATTTTCTTAAAATCTTAATACCTCCATTTGTTTATTTTAAAAAGTTAGTTTTAATATTAAAATATAATGGTGGTTTGTTGTGCATTTGGTTGTAAAAGTTATATAACTTATATTGACAAAGAAAGACTGGAATAGCCTTTGACAAATAAAAATCTATATTAATACTGAAAACTCAAAATTAATTTTTAAGGTAATAAATATATTTATTTAAATAAGTTTTTAAATAAAAAAAATGTGGACTTTTATTCAGAATATCATTTATAATTAAATTATGCATGAAACTATTCACAGATTGGTTCACACATTCCAACATTTCCAGCGTCCTCATTACCAGTACACTCTCTTTTATTGTCTAAGGTTTATGTTCTTTAAAAGTGAGGACAAAAAGTGGATAAAAAGTTTAGGGTTATGTAGTCAAAAAGTGGGGTTTTACAGCAACTGTCAGTGTGACAGTTGAACATTATTAGGACATTAATGTATACTAATAACTAATAACGCATCATTATTAACTGTCACTGTGACAGTTGCAACATTTGTTGAAGTTTTCTTCATCTATCATCTGTCACCTGTCAACTGTCAACTTGACACCTTTTACCATTGGAAAAAACGAAAAAATGTGGGTAAAATGTGTAATGTAATAAAAAAGTGGACTACTACAGTTTGGCTCTGGGGTACAGATATAAACTTATGAGTGTTATAATACGCTTGAAAAAAATTACATTATGGAGTAGGTATACTAAATTTAATAATTATTCAATCAATCAATTGTTCAATCAGCATTTGGATTACAAATTTTACCCCATACCCATAATGTTACAAACGTATAAAGCAAGTTAAATAAAATCTTGTGAAAATAAATTATTTAATAAAATTTTAAAAAACATTAAAAATATTATTTTACAAATTTTAATGTTAATTTGGTAGTTTTTTTTTAAATTTACATAAATACAGGTATACGATTTATAAAATTTTAATAATGATCATTAATACATATAAAAAATGTGGACACCTTAAATGTTAATATCATTCTGATACGTATAAAAAATATTGACGTCACTAATTGTTTTGTTTAAATATTTTTAAATTAAAGCCATAATTTATCTGAAATGCATTTTAAAATGTATGTATATTGAAGGAACTATCAAATATTGATAGAAGAATAATATTCTAACATTGGACTTTTAGAACCATTCTTTCCTAAAATAATACCAAAAATTTGACCTTATTATTTTTGGAGATAGTGGTTTGAAAAAAATCCGATATTTTTTAGTCTAAACATTCTTTATATTACGTCAATTTTCAGGGTTTTTCATGTTACTTACGTTTGTATTGATCGTTTAGACCACCAATGTAAACTCTGGTAGGGGGCGCATCATGGTAATCTTCTGTGGGTACTCTAATTTTTTGCGAAGGGCGTCTGGATAATGAGAGGTTTACAAAGGATTGCCAGACTGATATCGCGTCTTTCATTTTGCAATTTTTTTGTTTTTTTTTTGTTGGGGTGCTAAAATTTATTTTTTTGGTGAAAAATTGTTTTTTGTTTTTTGTATTCTGTGTTGTATTTTTTTATTTTGCTAATTAGTTAGAATTTTGACCTTTAATTTTTTATCTATACGAGTATGTATGATATTTTTAATTAAATTTGTTGATTTTATTTTTTTGTACATAAGGCATTTTTAATTGGCATTTTGATTTTGACCTTGGGATTAGAATTATTTTTGACAATTTTTTGTATAATTTATAAATAAAAATATGCTATACTAAATATATGAAATTAATTGAGTAACATTTGTAGGACTTCCTTTATTTTAAAAAAATGTGAAAATAATCTTATTTACAAGATATTGATTTTTAATCGAACGTGCAGAAATGTTTAATCGAACATTGGTAATAAACAAATGAATGTTTTATTGTGACTTGGTATTAATGAGTAGATTATGTTCCATACTTAATTATAATTTTTCAACGTCAAAAACGTAAGCTTATTTTTAAAATTTCTACTCAACCAATAAAAAATATTTTAATTTTAATTAATCATAGAAACCTGTAGATTATAGGAAATAAAAATACTTAAATTTAAAATGTGCAAATAAATTTAGTTTTTATAGAAAAATATTACTTTTTACAAAATTATGTTTTAATTATCAAAAAATCATAAAAAATTATCAAAAAAATAAAATATTAAAAATATTTTAAATTTTGTAGTTAATTATTTTTTTAATATAAAATACGTTTGTTTATAAAAAATTGTAAAATTATTTAAAAATTAAAAAAAAACAAAAATTTTAAAATAAAAATTATAAAACATTATTATTATTAATATTATTAAACAATTATTTATTTATTCTTACATTGTAAAAATCCTTATGGATAATTTATAAGACAAACATTTTAAAATAATAATAATAAAATATTTTGTTTAAATATTTTAAAAACCTTACGAATGTAAAAAATCAAACAAATATTGAAAAGTAAGAAATAAAAAATAAGAAATGTCATAAAACATTATTAAAAATATAAAATATAGGCCCAAAAAAAATCAAAAAATGCATACGACTTACAATTTTAAGATTACTTTAAAAAAAGAAAATAAAAAAATCCAACACAAAAATATACATAGCACAAAAAACTCACTTTTTATGTCAGAAAAAAATAGGTAAATTAAAATCACTTCAACAGAGTCCAAAAAAGTCCAAAATTAAAAAAATCACCCCCACTCTCTGCAAAATAAGGGCACACGCACTATAAAAATTGAACTAAAAACTAATTGAATGAACTTCGAAAAAATAATTTTAAGTGATGATTGCCACAAATTGACTTAACACGCGAAATGCCGATGATGTTTTGAGAGAACTACCGCTTTAATTCAATATATGTATGTATATAACTTAAGTGGTATAAAATAATTATTAAAGATCTAGCCAGCGTACTTTCTCTGACCAATGGTAGCGCGGCATTTCGTATTCCGCTGACGAATGAGAGGGGGCGTCTACGCGGGCTTTTCTGCTGTTTTGGTTCTGGAATCTCCGATATAATGATTCGATAATTTGATACCAGATTTTGTTTTGGTTGTAATAACGTCATGGAAATTTAGGAACTACGGACAAAAATATTTTTGCAAAAATATAACAGTTTTTTTTTTTATTTTGACATGACCACGTAACAGCTTGTTGATTTACATGTCAAAAGTCTTCTATTAGTACCTACACTCGAAAAAAAAAGGAATGGGTTCAGGTAATTTTATAAATTTTTAAGAACATTTCTAAAACAATTTTCGAAAGCTTGTTCAACAATTTTGCAGAAAGAAGAGAAAAAAACCGATTAACAGAAATTTGATAAAAAAAATAACATTTCCTACCTACATACCTAAAGTTCATTTTTTTTATCTGGACACGTGTTTTTTTGTTAGGTTGGTGGCTTATGCCAGTTTGACTTGGTATTTTTAGTATTTAAAAATGGTACTTCTGATAAAGAATTTAATTAAATACTTTGACACTGTCAATTATAAATAAAAAGATAATTATTCCAAAAATAATAGCAACGAATTGGAATGTAAAAGCCCTTTTGAGGGCAAAACTTCATTTTGATGAAATTATGCCAAATGCCACAATGGAAGAAAAAGTACATCGCCTTATCGACATTTTTGGAGTAAAAAAGTAACGAATTTGGTTTTATAAATATTACATCACACATTATTTTCACACTATTCACCATTGGACAACATTTAAGTTCACAAAAAAAATTAATTTCTTTTATATAAATTCTTATCAAAGCGAAGATTATTATCCGCTAGGAATACTTTCTCTTCTGGGCCGTAAAGCAACCTATATTTAACTACTTTTTTTGATGATTTTACTCATCCAAGCACCACCAAAGCCAAATTAATTGTATTTTTAACTACGAATTTCGACAACTCAACTTGACAACTGCACAATGTAACCTACAATATTTTATACATAACCACAATTAGATTTATAACTAGATTAGTTTGTTTTAATCAATGCGACCAACTTGACAACTGTATTTACCAACCAAAACCCATAATTTGCAACGTTGCCGCAGTCCAGATAAAAAAAAAGAACTTTACTTGTAAAGGGATTACTTTAATGAGTTTTTCCAAACAGTTGACGCTACCATCGCACTGTCATAATAAGTACTAAAATTATTTACAAAATCTTTCTAACCAACATAACTAACTTACAATCACAAACAAAACAACAATAGTACATACTAGGTACTAAACTAGCTAAACAATAGTTAAAAGCATGTTATTTATTTACAATAATACAAAGTGCTGAAAATGAAAAAAGGGTGATTATAAAAATAAAATTAATAAAAAGGCATAATGTTTCTTTTAAAGTCGAAAAAGCAAAAAAGGCAAACATTATGTTGGGTTAAATTGCACTAAGAATGTTTAACAGCCTTATAAGGTCATAGGTATATAGGTATTTTAAATAAGTCGTAAGGATTTTATTATTTTTAACATTGTTGTGTTCAAGCTTTTATCGCACGTTATCCAACAGAAAGAAATTTTGAACGTCAAAGTCATAACCAAAATTTGACAGTTTTCGGTGGATGAAAATTGACAATAAAATTAAATAAGGTTAGATTTTGTCGCTTGTTTACATTTTATACCGAATTTTATTAATTATTCCAAAACGTTTTATTATACCGTCTATTTATGTAAATGCGGTTTTGTTTTCAATTCATATTATTATTATGGGTTATAAAATTTATAATTTTTTTTGGGTTTTTTTAAAGGACACTTTTGTGGTATTTTTAAGCATTTTAAAGATAGAAGTCATGGGAATTTTGGTAGGAACTAGTAAGAATTTGCCAAATAAAAAATATGCAAAATAAATAATTTTTGCAGCTATGTACCTATGTATTAACGGAAATGCCATTAGCAACCAGTGGCTAAACATTGGTCTCCAAAATAATATAATCAATCTTTATTTTCGTACATCTAATTAATTTAATAAAATGTCTTTATCTTTAATAATATTAAAATAATAATATGGATTTATGAGTTAATGCATTTTGCGAATTAACCGTCACAAGACATTATTTTTTTGTTATAATTATAAGGATGGGGTTGCAAATAGGAAAAACATCTTTCTTCATAAAAAAAAAATAAAAATAACATTTCGATAAAACTTATTTTGTATAATGGTACCTTTATCGAAGCTGGAAGTATCTTGAAAAAAAAAGATACTTCAAAGTAACTTATATACATACTTAAAGTATCTATAGATATCTTATAAGATACTTGATCTTAGATACTTTTTATATTGGCAGAAAGTATCTTTAACTTAGTTACTTTGGAAAAGTATCTTGTAACTTGTATCTATTCAAACCTTCAACTTGTTTAATTTTTATAATTGTATAGTTTTTATTGAAACTTAAAAGTAACTTAGTTACTCAAAAGTATCTTAGATACTATCTAAAGTATCTAGTAACTAAATATAATTTCAACTTAAAGGATCTAGTTACCTAAGGTAACTAAGTTATTTTGTTTAAAGTATCTTAGAAAAGTAACTTGATACTTTTCAGAAGTAACTTTCCCAGCTCTGAACTTTATTTATTATTTTATTGAAAAATGTTATAGAAGAAAGTCGATGACAATTGAAATTAACTTCTTAATAGGAAATATAATTTTGCCTATCATTTAGGTAGAGATGTTAACTTTTATATCGATTGTAATATATTCACCAATAAATCTGGGAGTACAATACAGATTACAATAAAAAAATTGCATTTATTTACCAAGAAATCTGTGAGTACAATAAAATATTTGTATTTCATTTTTATCACAAGCCTAATTGTACATTCAAATTAATTATTCAATAGTATGCTCATTGAAAATTATTTCAACAATTTAACCAATTTCTTAACCCCTCTTGGTATGATTGTGTCGAAAAGTTTCACTTCTATATACATATAGTGTATATAAATAGGGTGTCCAAAGTTTACCATTGCAAACTTTGTTATTATCGGAGCTACAAATTTGGCTAAACTATCAAATTTGTGTCATTTTCGTATAGTGTGCACATATAGTTTACATGTATAGTGTTTTATAAATATTACATTTTCAATTAATAACTGATCTACAAGTTGATGCCCCTTAAAAGTACAGGCAGGATATACTTAAAATTTAATGACAATAAAAAGTTTCTTTAATAAGTTTTACGTAAAATGTATAGTAATGCATGATTTGTTGCAAATATAAGTAATTACTAATAATAGCTTTTAAAATGTAATTTTTACAATAACATGTGTTAATACTCACTAATTATTTATACTAAATATAGGGAGCAGGCAATTGTTTTGACGCATTACCAAAACGTTAAAATTATAATTAAAATATATAATAAAGTCAATTTCAAAGATTTCCTTGCCAGCTCTGGAAATTCTTCTTTTTTCTTCAATCAATTAAATTTTATTTTCAGCCTGCCTTCATTAACAAAACT